AAAGAATAATTTAAAATGCAAAAAAATACCATATGATGTACAACATAGGTGAAACTCCACCAATAAAATGCTAGATAAATATAAAACTGTCTTAAATGACTATGTTAGTATAGATACCATGGGTTCATTATCGCATCCCACCAAAGAAGAATGAGAAGTCACTGATAAAATGAAAGATTTTTTGAAAGTTTTTTATGAGACAACTATGACTTTACATGGTAATTATTATCCAACTATTACATTTGTCAATGTTCATATAGTTACTATCAGTAATCTTTTTGAACAATATAGTATTGAACCCAAATTTTCTACTATTTTACATAATATACGATCTAAATTTAATAAATATTTCTCACCACTTCTTATATTTACTAGTTTTTGTATGTTAATTGACCATTGATTTAAAGAATTACAAGTGTTTTTATGTCTCAATATGGTAACTTAAATAATGAGCACATGAACCATATGAATAAAATAAAATATTATTTTGAAAAAAAAATTAATGGTAGTACACTTCAATCCCCCCTTAGCATTTAGTGATATTGTTGGTAGTACTAATAAAGGTAAAGATAAAACATTTATGCTAGCTTCAATTTTGACCAGAGGAGGTATGTCAACATCTAGGGGGTTAACTGAACTTCAGCAATATTACAATGCTCCATTGGTAGGTGCTGAAGATCCTGATTTTGATATTTTGGCCTGGTGGACAAAATATGAAAGTAGGCTTCCAATTCTTTCTACCATGACTCGTGATATACTAACAGTTTTTATGTCGACTGCAACGTCCGAATCTGCTTTGAGTACAAGAAGACGTGTCATTGATGAGCATAGGAGGTGCTCAAATGGAAAGACAGTGGAAGCCCTCACGTGTCTTCAAGATTAGTATGCCTCTGAAGCGAGAGATCAAAATATAGAAATAAATCCCCTAATACCAGAATTTGAACTTTTAAAAATTTAGATATTAAGACTAATGTATTTTTTTTATGTATTAAATATACAAGCTTTTCATGTACAAAAGTCTTTAATGGGTAGAATTGTGCAAATGATAGATAGGTGGGTAGATGTCAACCTAATTGGGATGTACTCATTCTACTGTAATGAAATTTCTCTTCTATTCATAAATAAAATTATTCATTATTTAATTTTTGTCCATTTTGATTTTGACTATACTTTTAATTCAAAAATATAATATACAAAAAAATTAAATAAACTTGTATATATTTTCAATAGAGCCCAACAAGCCCACCCAAAACAGGCCCGCCCAACAAGCCCAATAAAAGCCCGCCCAGTCAATCCCGCCCAATAGGTGACGGGCTGGGCTGCAGATAGCTTACCCCTACACTACCCAGCCCATGGACCGCCCTAGTCACACACATATTAGCATAAACATATATGTTAATATATATATATATATATGATCATTATTATATATTGTAATATTTTAATATTTGAGGAAATCTAATGCATTTTCCTACGTAACATGTAGGTACACTTTCTCAAATTTTGTGGGCGGGTTATTGGGGCGGACATCAATTTTCGGGCTGGGCTTCAGGCAGGGTAGTGGGTTTAGGGTGTTAACCCAAGCCCATTCTTAAAAGATATTGGGCTAGAACTTGAGCAGGCCAACTATCGAACTTCTGACATTTTTTCGGGCCGGGTAACACGACCCGTGGGTAACCCGGCTCATGGACACCCCTACTAATAATATAGTGTCACAATGAATTTTGTTACAAAAGGAATCTCCATAGTCATTTCCAATCAAAGCTATATTCTTTTTCACCAAGTTCTCAATTGAAAGATCTCCCTGATCTTTTGGCTTAGACACAACCTTCCATCGAATCAAATGATCCTTCCTTCCCTCGCCCACTCCTTCACATAGCAAATCTTTTATCAAACCCTCAATTTTTCTCACCACCAAATAAGACATTTTAAAAAGAGGTCATAAAATAGATTGAAATACTGCACAAAACAGACAAAATCAACGATAATCTACGACCTAGAAATACAAGATTTCTTCCACCCATCTAATCTTCTCCCTACTTTTTCAATAACAAGATCCCAAAAAGTCCTAGACATCGAATTACCACCTAAAAGAAGACCTAGGTACTTCAATAGCCAACCATCCAAAGAGCACCCCAACTCCAAAGCCAACTTACCTCTCTTCTTCTGACCATGCTCTTCTCCCCATCAGCCTTGAGTCTAGAGATTACACCAAACACCAATTTCAAATTTCTTAATTTCTCATCCCCCAAAGAAAAGAATATAATATCATCTTCAAATTGCAAATGAGATATTGAAATCCTTTCCCTCACAACCCCAAACCCCTCGACCAAATTACCCCTCTCACACCCTTCTAGTTACCTACTCAACCCATCCACCACCACAGTGAACAAAAGAGGTGATAACAAATCTCCCTAATAAAGCCCCCTAAATGCCTTAAATGTTCTCTTAGGTTTTCCATTCAACATAATCGAGAAATTCATCGACTCCAAACATCCCCTTATCCATTTTCTCTATCTCACCCCAAAACATTTCACCTCCAATACGGAATCCAGAAAATTCCAATCCACATGGTCATATGCTCTTTCAAAATCGATCTTCAACGCGATGCCCTCCCCCCCTTTGACCCTATATTCTTTCACAACCTCATTAACTACAAGAGTCATCCATAACTTATCTCCCCCTCACAAAAAAACCCCTGATATTTTGAAATTGTATTACTCAAACACTCCCTAAGCCTAATAAAAAGTACTTTGGTCATAATCTTATACAAAGTTTGACATCCAGAGTAAACTTTTTTCGGTATAAGAAATATAAATGCAGCATTAGTAACTCCATTGATCACACCCCCATGAGAAAACTCCTCAAACACCCACATCAAATCATCTTTCATCTCATCCCAACAAATCATCATTCTACCACACTCAAATACAATCCTCCTACCCTCCTCCCCCTCAAAAGGTCTTTCCATCCACTCTGTACTTCTTCCATCATCCTTCTACTACACTCAAATATATTCCTCCTAACCACATTTGATCTAGAACAACCATGACCAAAATATAGATTAGCAAAGACACTAACAATCTCCCTCTCGATAGTAGCCTCATCATCAACTATCATACCATTATCAAGCTTCAACTTATCAATGATCTTCCTCACCCTATTACCGTTTGCAACTTGATGAAAAAATATGGTATTATCACCTTCTCTCACTCATGTAATTCTTGATTTCTGTTTCAAACTAATCTATTATTTAAACACAACCTCTTCAAATTTATTCCTAACATCACTCCTCTCCCTTCTCAACTCTTCATCCAAACCCCTTTCTTCTTCAACCTTATCAATATCGACAATCCTTTCCAAAATGACCCTTTTCTCTTCACGAACGTCCCCAAACTCCTCTATATTCCACCTTTAATCTTTGTTTTATAAACTCAAGCTTTTTCATAAATTTTTACCCCTTTCACCCTTAAAATGCTCCCTCTGACCACCAAGGCCCAAGTCTCGCCCTAAAATCTCTATACTCTACCCACATATTTTCAAACCTAAAGGGACAAGGCCGTCACCTAAACTTAGAATCTGCAACGACTATTGGACAATAATCTGAAACCACTCAAGACAAAGTTTTCTTTATAAAACCAATCCTCACAACTACAGAAAGTAAGACTCCATCCAATCTTTTACATATCACCCTACTTCTAAAATTAGACCAAGTATATGCAAAATTGGCCAAAGGAGAATCCCTAAGTACAGTTTATTTAATAAAAGTATCAAAATCCCTCGTATTTTTTGTTATTCTTCCCCCATTTAACTTCTCCAACAAATACCTAATGACATTAAAATCCCTCCAATACACTATTGTGGACTACACAACCCAAACAAGCCTGCTAATTCTTCTCCCCCATAGACCCAGATAAGCCACCAATCATAGCGATTTCAATATTTGATTCTAATTGAAACTATAAATTCCCCATGAAGTGATTCTTCCACTACCGCAGACCTCTCATCCCAAATTATTACTATATTGTCTGAACTCCCCATTGAAGGAACAAAAACTCAATTCCTTAACCAAGACCCCTAAACATTCCTAATAACTTTCCTATCAATTATTTATAGCTTAGTTTCCAGTAACACAAAGCTCAACTAATCAATAGATCCTCAATTGAACTTCGTTTGCTCCAAGATCTTAACGTTCTATATTCCAACTAACAATCTTTATAACAAACAATAGACCCTCCCCAATCTTACTAGATTTCCCACCCTCATACTTAATCCTTGAATGTAGATTATTTAACACTCACCCCCTTGTTTTTCCTCACGTCTCACATCCTTCTTCTATTTTCCTTTCTTTTTGGATGGAACTAAGGACATTCATTTTTCCATAAAATCTTCCAAAACTATCCATTTCTTCGCATCCAACACAAAACAATTGGTATATTCAATATACTCACTCTCTATCCATGACCTTCCCCCATCCCCTTTTTCACCAGAACTCTCAATAGCCCCAGTCCCCAGTGCTCACAGCGTTTGAATATTCCCTGGAGCAAGATTAAATACGTAGAAACCATTATCAATACTGAAGTTGTGAAACAACTAATAGAACTAAAATTGGACCTTCCACCATCCCCATGGTTCCATTTTGGTCAGACATCACCAATTCCTTCCCATAAGATCCATGTTCATCGCATGTTCTAGAACCCACACCCTTTCTCTAATCAGACCCATAATGACCTACCCCATAATTGGAACCCCTCCCAAGAAAATAAGTTTACTACCTTTCATAGAATTAGACATTTCTCCCCTTTATGTCAAAAAAATCTTGTCATGTCAACAGACTTCCTCCGGTTGTAACCCATCTTCATTGCCAATATTGCATCGATACAACGTGTCCTTTGAGCTACTATTAGTGTCGTCACTATCTCTCAATTCCAGCGCAGCATTTTGGACATCATAATAACCTTCTTCAACCTTAAACGCCAATTGTCACTGGCCTTCTTCATTCACTCCTTCAAACCTAAAATCTCAAAGTCGTCTCTAAGACTGTCATACCCATCGCTTTTTCCTCCAACATCACTCAACAAATTTTCATCCTTACCTCCATCCATACTCCTACCATTTATCGTCGTTGATCCCTCATTGGCTCTACCCTGATGAACTTTGTTCTCTATGTGGAATTTATATTCCTCCAGAACATAGGACTCACAACTCAATCTGCCCGTAAATAATAGCCTTGAAAGCCCGAGTCTTCAACTTGTTAAAAAGAGGGTCATGGGCCACTCAATTTCTAGACCATGTCCAACTTATCATTAATTAAGTCAATCTTCTTGGATTTAAAGAGCCCAATTTAGAAAGTTTGTCATCCTTTTGCCCTAACTTAGACCCACTGGACCCATCTTGCATTCTAGAGCATCCCACCCACTTTTGAATTTTATTAACTCTGACAGCAAATTAAATTTTGGTCCAAACTTCGTAAATTTTGCTTAACCCCTCATTTTCCACATTCTTGCTCAATTATTGCTCTAGATTCTTTAAATTAAGCATAACTCCCAGCTTTCCATCTTCTGATTCTTTTCAAAATCAAATCACCCACCATTAACCCATCTTGGAAATTAGCAACATTATTGGCTATTTGGCAATAATTCCATCATTAATTATCTCCTCAACAGAAATCAAAGCTATGCTACTAAGTTGACCCTTTGGTGCACACATCTCCCCAAAACTTCTCCCTCTGCTACTACCATGTGACCCTCCTGAATCCTTAACTTCATCATCAACCAGTAGCTTGTAGTACAAACTTTTCATACTACCTCCCCCATACAACCTCTATCTCGCGCTATGACTAAACTAACCCATATTAGAGAATACCTTGATGTTAATGGGATATGATTTCCCATTGAAGTCATCTTGAAAGGCGTCTTGAGGAACCTCATTTGTGGCTTGTGGACTCGTATTCTAGCCGCATACAGATTAGCACGATTTTTAGTTTCCCGAGAACAATTTTCTTTCTTATAGATTCTCTCTGCCTGTATTTTATTTTCACAAAAAAACGTAGTTTTATTTGCTTGAAATGGTTGCAATTTCACTTCCCTATTCAGGGCCATAGCTAGAAAAATTTGTATCACATTCCAGGATACTAATAGGATGCTCCTAACACATACCACAACACACTTCCATCTTTCCTCCTCTGAAAAAAACTTCAACTTTAAAAATATTAGAACCTTTATGCTTCCTAACATGCCTACTATTCGTCCCTTCTGTCCCAACCACCACAGCCCCTCCTTGTTTTTTCTTTTCATTGACAGAAAGTGCCCAGTGCCATGCATGGCTTCTTCCAACATCCTTCGAAATGCTTCCCACCCCTTCCTTCAATGCCTTTAGGGATAATCAAACTCATTCTCCCACCATTTTTCAACATCTTACTTACTCTGGCAAACTCCTCAAACCTGCTACTATCCAATTCAATCCATACACAGAGACCATCAATCCTATATTTCCTGAGAAACACATCCTTACTGTTCCAACATAGAGCGCTAGAAAATGATTCATTCAACCATCTCACGCAATCCTTGTTCCATGAAAAGGATCCAACTCGATTCCATTCTGTTGTCCAGATCTACTGTTCAAGCTTAGTCTCCATTCTCCCATTTATAAATGTGTCTATGATATTTTATCTCTCTTCACAAGCAAAGCAACTCGAGGTAAAACAAGAATAAGACTATCAGCTCAATGTTAGAACATTGCATAAGTAAAATCAATAATTTTCCTCCTAAACGTTATATTTCAGGCTAACTATAGCCCGTACAAAGCCTGTCTTCAACATTCAAGCGTACAAGATATAAGACTATTGGTGATGTAGATCGTAGTAGAGAAGAATTAAGGATGAGAAAGGGAAGAAGAAGGGGATGAGAAAAGAAAGAATTTGAGAAGGAAACAAAATATTCAAAACCAGTCATTAATAAAAATCAAAGTCTAGTCTCACAACAAATATGTATCCCATATATATATATATAAGGAGTTCACAAATCCTATATATATAAGGAGATCACAAACCCTAAAATAAATAAATAATCAAAATGACAACTAAACTCTTAAAAGTTAAAAGAAAATACTTAAAAGATAAATACTAAATTACTCTCATGATTAATCTAAAATATCTATCCAATTGCTACACGATCCCCATCATTCTCCTCCGGTTGAAAAAAACTCTCTTTCGGAGAGTCTTCAAAGTAGAAGTACCCTACGAGAGCAGGATAAAGATGACATAATGCCTTATCTAAAATGAAAGAACCATCAACATCTTTCTATCGATCAGAATAAATGCAAGAATCATCTGTAGTAATATAAATTTGGTCACATAGCACATCATCTATTTAGCTCGAAATATGCGATGAAGTGAAAAGATAAGAACTAGAGTTAGTGTTGAGGAAGAAGCAATTCCACCTGTAGAAACACTGGATAACAAAATAGGAGGGTCTGGAGTACCTTGATTAAGTAGTAAGTCCTCCAAATAAAAATCTAGACTAATACTAACATTTAATGAAAAATTAAGTAAAATAAGCATTAGATCCAAATTCAAAAATAGCAAAACAATTCTCATTAGATTTGAACAAAAGACATTCAGTGGGACAAGACATCAATGACAAAGGAGTAACTGTAACACCCTGATGCTGAAAATAAAAAAATACAGACTCAATTGAACACTTGACAATAAATAAAGAATCAAAGTTAACACTCTCAAGTGAGGCAAAATCCATAACAATGTCAACAATCTCAGGTTGGGAAGAATTCGTAACAAAGTCATGATGACTTGGACAAGTAGACACAAAATAGTCACTAGTAGATTCTGCAAGAAATGACTCGATTGGCTTAATATCTTGCATAGGTGTAAACTTAACAGACTTTTTTACAATTTTCAAGACCAATGATGATTCAAGAATTGACACAAGCAAAGACTCACACACACTTTCTTTCGATATAAACTCTTATGGATGCAAAGGAGGAGAACTCTGATCTGATGAAATTGAATGAGGGAGTTGGAGGTCAATATGAGTAATATTTTTCTCTTTATCCGATACTAGCATATCTAAATCCTTTGCCACATTCAGATTAGGAAAGTATGAAGAAACAACATGGACATCATTCAAGTAATCATGATTCTCATATGTGGTGGAATTAAAATTGAAAGGTATCCTTTCACGCTGTTTAACAGATCGTGATTGAGAACCCATCAAGCTATAGTTGGATTTCTTATGAAATCTCTCAACCTTTAGAGATTATTGATAGGGCTGCAACTATCGTATTAAAAAGTGTATAGCTTGACCTCCCTACTAATTTTTTGTCTCAACACAAGAATAAACTAATTAATTGTCCAAGGTTCTTCAACAATGTCACACAAGTACATGAGATAATTGAACTGAACCAAATAATCAGAGACACTAGAAGAATGTTGTCTAAGATTGAGTCATTGGTCATAAACTTGATCCATGTAGGAAGTAGGCAAATACTTCTCTTTTAATTTATATCTCATTTCAACCCAAGTGATAGGTGATTCTCCTAAGGGGTCTAGACTTCTTTGGATTGTTTGCCAATACTGCTTGGCGGAACCCTCTAACATCAATTTAGCAAATCAAACGCAATGGGAATCCGACATGCCATGCCAATCAAAATGTTCTTTTAAATTAGCTAACCAATCCAAAAATTAATTGGAATCTAGAGTACCACAAAATGTAAAAGGATCTTTAATTGATTTAGCAATAGGTGTTGAATCCTTGTAGACATGCCTTACTTGCTATGATGATGACCTTGAGGAGGGACTCTTAAATTAGAGTAAATATATGGATTAGATGCATCATACATACTCATGAGTGAGTCTTGGAACAATGGAATGACACCAAAACAAATTCAAGAATGTAATTGACAAATGATTTGGACCCTTTGCAAATTTTTTAATTTTTCAATGAATAAAAATATTAGTTTCAAATTTCTATAGGAGTATGCATACCATAATCCAAGCTTTGTTTTGAGGGAATTCAGAAATTCAGAAACTTTTTGGGGATGATTATGTAATTTCTAAAACTTCTGGGAGTATTTCTGCAATTCTGGAACTTCTAGATAGTATTCCTACAATTTGCTGAAACTTATAGGGGTGATTCTGCAATTTTTTTGGATCTTTTGAGAATGTTTTTGCAATTTTGAAACTTTCTGGAGTGTTTTTATAATTCTTCTGGGGTGTTTCTGTTAAATACAAGCGTCAGAGATGAAATCGATCCTGAGTCAAGGATGAACAGTGCGTGCAAAGAGTACGCATGAACAGTGATTTCAACGGACGAATTTTTTCCCGATGAACAGTGTTGTTAAGATTTTTGTGATTTGTACGAATCGAAATTGGGCTCTGACACCAAATTGATGTAGATCGTAATAGGGAAGAATTAGGGATGAGAAACGGAAGAAGAAGGGGATGAGAAAAGAGAGGGAATTTGCGAAGGAAACAAAATATTCAATACCAGTTATTAATAATAATTAAAGTCTAGTCTCACAACAAATATATATCCCTATATATATAAGGAGTACACAAATCCTATATATATAAGGAGATCACAAACCCTAAAATAAATAAATAATTAAAATGACAACTAAACCCTTAAAAGTTAAAAAAAATACTTAAAAGATAAATACTAAATTACGCTCATGATTAATCTAAAATATCTATTCAATTCCTACACAATCCTCATCAATTGGTTGATGCACCAATACAGAAAAGGCCCCAAAAATGTGAATGTGTTCAATAAACAACATAAACAAAGCTCAACAGGCAAGTTTTGAATCAGGAACAGGACTTACCCAACTAACCAATGGAAAATTGAGCCATCAAAACTCCCACTAACAAAATATTCCTCATGAAATGGATGCCAAGCCAATGCTAGCAGATTGAAGAAAAAAAATCAGCATAAGTATCAGATATATTAAAAAAAAACTGCAGAGAAGGGGTCAGCAAAATAAATAAAGGTGCTAGTAAATATGGTCCACATATGACCTAGATTGAACTAGATAGAGAGCCACAAGAAGAATGATGGAATTTCTGCAAAGCACAAAAAATATATAGCACTAGCACTATTTGCGAGACCAAAGACCTAGTAACTAAATTTCTAATTCCATGCACTTTGATGTTACAGCACAAACATATTAACATGGATGCCCCTATGATGGTCCAGTGCAAGTGCAAAGGCATGATATATTAATCAAACAGATAAAGGCCATTGAAGCACTTGCAAATGATCGAAGTAACGTGACTCTTAACTATGCAAGGTATTTCCTTTAGGACGTGTACGTAGCAGCACTCTATTTTGTGCACTAGCTCCCATGTCAAGTTTTATTTTATCTTCACCAACAAGCACGACGCCTTTAAAAAGACCAAGTGTCCAACTTGCACGCAAGACAGATACCAATGCTTCTCAATCATTCTGCGACACAACTCCAACACCTCTTCAATCATGTCCTTAGTAAAATTATAGATCTTGATTTGCAACATGTCCTTGGTCCTTCTTGGACATCAGACCACATAAAATTGATAAACTTGAAGTTAAGATATGGTTTTCCAACAAGATAAAGAAGAATGATTCTTAAGAATGATTAACTTTAGAACCCTATAAAAAGTCATTATATATTTAAAAACAAAAGTATGACATGAAGATTTGATCAAAGAACGGAGCATTGGAGGATGATTAGAATCTCCTTAATCATGTAGTCTTTTTTCTGCTAGGTTTGTCTATACAAAATCAGTAACCATTCACTGTGGTGTACTACAAACATGGATATAATATTTCCTTTGCATGCTGTATAGATATAGACAGAGATAATGGGTACATAACCCATTTATTTGTTGTTGTATTCCCACTGTGTTTGTATCCTACTTTTTCAGAAATAATTGTCAACTTGTCCGTGCCATGTCATGTTTAAGCCCCAGTTCTTTCCCTTGATTCTTGATTTCAAAGTTGCTATACTAGACACCAAAACTATTTGTCTTCTAAAAAAATAAAAAATAAAAATTGACCTTTATTGCCTATTACGACTATTAGATTACCCAGTAAGCAAACATGATACGGTATCTTCTTGTAGTCAACTTATTTTAACAAGCCTATATGCAGTTCATTTTTCCTTGATCATTAATGCAATCACTACGATATTAAACCACCCGTGCTATTTATGCTGCAACTGTACTGTCAGCCTATTTCTTTTGTTTTTAGGTGTTTTATCAACCTTAAATTCATTTCAAGACAATGGAACCCCCAGTCAATACATAGACCGGAATTAAATGACCAGAGGCCAAGGAGAGAAAGGTAGGATTACAAGAAAGTATATTAGTGAAATGCTTGAAGAAGCACCAAGAAGAGATAAATGAAGAATCGGCTTAGGTTGTTTGAACATGTTTATAGAAGACATATTGCTACACCAGTAAGGGAGAATGATGTGATACATATTGATACAAATGCGAGGAAGAAAGGTAGACCAAAATTAACTTTGAATAAGATAGATGGTGAAAAATTATGATAGCTTACAGATTAACATTCATATTACCTTTACTTTTTGAAAAAAAATATACATATCACCGTTGATAGAGCACAATGACGGAATATGATTCACGTAGCTGGCCCAAATAGTTGGGAGTCCGGACAAGGTTTCATTGCATTGAGTTGAGCCATTTTCAATCTTTCTGGCATCAATTTTACATTTTTCTCTTCTTTCAAAAAACAGTCATTCAACTTTAATACTATGAAAAGTATAATAAATACATTCGAAATTCCACAAAATCATTAGGTTTTTTATTGCTATTAGTATAAACAATCTATGAAATTAAAATAAAAGGAATAGTGAATGCAATAACCAATCAAGGTCCTCTATCACAGGGAATATCAACTGAACATGTTACAGTTACACATCAACATAAAGAATTACACAAGGACTACTAGTATATGTGCATCCTACAATCATAAAGGGTAGAAATTTTAAAAAAGCACCGACACTGACCAGTCACATCCTTCCGATGTCCACGGAAAGATTCAAGCTCCTTCATCGCCCTTATGTCATAAAGCTGAAAATACAAACATGATTACTCACACAATAAAGAGGCAACAACCAAATGCAAGCCCTTTCAATTCACACAATAAATATAATGGAAGATGTCAAATTCCTACTTTGATGATTTGATCCTTCGAAGCAGTTAGCATCCAGTTACCGTTTTGATTCCATTTGACACAAAGAACTGTATTTTTGTGCCCATGACTGAAAACAACAAAATTAACTGCTCAGAAGAATTTAACTAACAGATATAAACTGCAGCTATGACATAAGGAATCCTTTACTAACAATGAACAAAGCTCCCTCCCTGACTTTGCATCCCAAAGTTTCACAAGGTTATCCTTCCCACCTACCAAAAGCCAAAGGCAAACAGTGTTATGTATGACTCAAATATTTTCAAGATTTCAAGAAGTTCACAAAAGGGATGTAGAACTACACACCTGAAACTAGTAAAGACTTAGTAGGATGCCAATCAACACTCTTCACATCCCAACCATGGCCTGCCTGAGTCCAAATCACATAAAAAGACTCTTACGTTATCTTGAGTTGAGTCTCTGATATTACCCATGACTACATAGTATATTTCCACCCCAAAAAGGAGAAAAAAAAACACAAAAAGACAAGATAATTGGCCTAAAGTCAAGCAAAAAATAGTTGTCCATCATACATCAAGCAGTTACTAACTAAAGAAGCAGAACAGATCATACAAAGAAAAAGCATATCGGATAGCGAGACACATGCACCCAATGACTTAAGAAATTTATTTTTCAAAAATGACAAGCCCTTTTGAGCAGCGTTTTGCACGCTGAGAAATGCCCAATTTGTCTTCTCAGACTTGATCTATGTCTTAATCCACCCAAGGCGGATTCCTAAACAAAAGGGCCTCCATGCACTTATTGAGCCTAAAATTTTCCCCTGGACAATAAGGAAATTCCACATGCATAATTAAGGGAGCCAGAGAAAGGTGACTAGAACAGTGAGCAAAAAGAAAGAGGTCTTAGGTTCTTCTTTCCTAACCACCCGAGTGCCATCTAGCTCTTGGAAAAGGAAGGGGAAAGCCTAAGTTAAGTGGAGATCCCTTTTTTATTAATAGGAAGTGGATGGAGGTTGGTTGTAGAGAAGAGAGCAAGAAGTCCAAGTCCTATCCTTACTATCCTAACTCCTCTTCCTGCTATAAGAGAAAGGCCTTCTCCCATGAGTTGTTTGTAGTCATTTTTGCTTTTAAGGACGATAATGGCCCCTCATAGGAGTGGGTAAGGTGGTAAGCTCCTCGAAGAGGGGTGAGCAAAATGGATTCACCAAGTATGAGATCATATCTATGAATAATGCCACTCTCTCTCTTTGATCAAGAGATATCATAAACTTCCTCAAGCAGATCAGAATTTTGGCAAGTTGTCATCATATAGTTGTCCTAGAATCAATAGCATTCCATTAGGAGGCTTACACCCATTTGCATTAATTTATCTAAAGTTCAAACAAAACCAACTCCCAAAAAGCAATTACAACAACTATTCATGCCATCTGTTTATGTGTTCTAACATAGCCTACATTGATACTGGTTTCTTATGTGTCATAGTTAACGATGCCAACTTTATCACTAGTTAGCATGCATCCTGTTTGTATAAACAAATCTCTTTCAAAAATAACCACCAATACACTGATAGTCAGTCACCTACCTCATCGTCCGTCAGTGACTTAGGGGTTGGGCATTTCTGAACAATCCCCATGATGTCATAAATCACATTCAATGAATTGAAAGGTGAAGGATTTTTCCTTTTTGATAGGATTCACTTTGGTGGGAAATGCTTCAAAATAAGGAGCATTAGGCAGTACTAAAGAACAGATTTTTTTTAGGGGGGAGGGAGAGAGAGAGAAGAAGGTGAGAAGAGAATAGGAGAAAGAGAGGACCAAAAAAGAAGATGGAAGAAAGAGAAGGGAAAAGGAAGAGGAATGGAAGTGAGAGGAGAGAAATCTAAATTCCATTGAGTCAACAACTCTAAAATTAAATCATCATCATTATAAACACAAAAGGGTTGATTGAAGCTAAGGTTGAAGATTAGAGCCTACAAAGCACTAATACTTTAATCGTGGTAACGTATCCGTATCGGATACCGATACTGGTTGGATACTTGTGAATATGTATCGGATACTTTCCACACGTATCAAATAATTAATAAAATATTATACTTGTCGGATACACCTTGGATACGCGTATCTCTATGGTGAATACATTCATCTTATACTTAGCGAGGTGGGTTGTTTAGAAATCTTGAATCATACAAATGGGGATTCCTCATTTCAGGATGTTCATTCGGACGTGCGTCACATATATCACCAGATTTGTCAATTCTTTACGATTGAAATGAGTTTTTATGACATATGTTAAAAGCCAATGAAGTCTATTTAAATTAAATGTTAAATAAAAGTTGAGGATTCTCGAAGGGTGACTTGTCTTCAACTTTAGAATTACATAAAATCTTGAATTTAAAACATCATTGAGTAGTCATATGTCAGTAACATAAATTATTTTAGTTTGGATGTGTTTTATTTCTTAATCCCTCATATCCCTAGTGTTGCAATAATATTCTAATATAATATATATATAAATAAATGTATCCTAATTGTACCTGTATTCTACTTTTTAAGATTTTGTTGTATCATTGTATCCATATTGTGTCCTATATCCGTGCTTCCTAGATTAAAGCTCATGGATTAATTTTAGTATTATTTCCCAATTTGGAACTTATTGGTTGTATTTTCTAAATTGATGTATTTAAATATCCTTATAATTTTTTATGTATTTTTTCATTTGGGTCTCCCACTCTCGTCTGGATCAGTTGATAGGTAATGCAAAAGTATTAGATGAAGCTTAGGTTGAATATAAACATTTTGAGAATTGTTTCAATACTATTTCCTAATTTAAGAAGCATTGGTTTTTATTTTCTTAATCTACGTATTAAAATATCATCATCAAGATTTTATGTAATTATAAATATAGTGGATGTAGGGCATTTCCAATAAATATGGTCCTTAGTGTAAAAATTTAGTCAATTTTAGCAATATCAAATTGAATTGGATTTGGATCTCTCTCCTCCCTCACATCTATTTATGTTCCTTTCCTTCTATATTTTTTCCTTCTTCTCTTCTTTCTTTTTCTCACTCTTTCTCCCATAATCTATATTCTTTGGCCCTGAATCAATTGGTAATCAAACCCAACTATCGTCGGGTGTTGCTTTTGTAACGCCAACAGACATTGAAATCCATATCATGGTCGGCTAATAAACCACCATTATCATCATAGCTTTGTCAGTTTTGTCAAAAAAAATTCCATCACCCCTTTGCATGGATAAAATCCACACTGTAACTTTGTGGGCACACAGATGTGAATAACCTATTGCTACCACATGTGTTTTCACTATCCATCGACATCGTGCATGTGGACATCTTCTTGTTGGAAGATATGGAAAGTTTTTTTTTCCCCAGAAAGTGATATGGAAAGGTTAGACATCCTTTGATTTGTTTTTGTCAGTTTCTCGTTGAGTTGCACACTCAATTAGATTCAAGTTGGAGGTCATGACTCATGAGGTTGAAGATGACCAAAATCTGATATTGAGTTGATCCGATCCAACAAGTTTAACCCAAATCCCACTCTTATTGCAACAAGTTTACAATATCTATATAGAAAAAGTTATGTTATGGTCCAGCCCACTGGTCATGACTTCTGGAATGGCAATGGGTCACTTATTTTGCCCAAGCTCTGCCTATACACAAAAGAACAAAATCCCATGCCCATATTTTCCCTGTATGGGTGGGCACTGCTCAATGCCACCCTATATATTATCAGTATAGATAAGCAGGAAAATTTTTTGTGAGTGGGACAGGCAATGAATTGATTACCATCTTGTCAAAGGGTATCAGCTTTGAGACATATAGAACATGATATTAGAGCTTTGGTTCAGGAGACTCTTAGCATGGCTTTGTGACATAGGCTGCAAGCCACGTGCCAAGGCACAATAGGAAAAAGAAAAGACAAAAAAAATCCAGGAGGTAAGAGAAGGAAAAAGAAGAGAAAGTAGTGTCAAACATTTGCCAGATCTCAACCAACTCTTATCAATGGTGCCAAAGTCAGAAACTAGTCTGGACATCAGTTTTGTCTTCATATAGGAGATGCATCCCAACGAACATTCCAACACACTGCCCTAAATGTATTTTCTGTTCCCAATACCCAAAGAGAGTCCCATGTACATTGACTACAGTCTGACAATCATACGGCTCTGCTAAAAAGTCAGGTATCAAAACGTATTCCACCAATATTATGTCATTTTACACGAAAACAAATCCACAAAGCACCCCCAACAAGAAACAAGCCACACATGCTTGAAACAAGAAGAAACTAAATGGTCATGCTATTGCATGGTTAGAAAGACAAGGGCATGAAATTGTATTCTTTGCATAGATAAAGCCTAACAAAATTGCAAAATGTAAATTAAAAGTAACAGTTGTTGTCAAGTATTGCCAAGATTTGGGGCCAATAAGCTCCTTGTATATCCATTTTGACATTTGAGGGACATTACCAGATAATGAGCGCTCTTCTTGACACCTAGCAAAGTCCCAAACTTTAACAGTAGTGTCATCAGAGCAGGAGCAGAACTTCAAATCTGTCCGACAGAAGCTGTTCAAAAAATCGAGCATTACAATTTGAAATGTTTCGTGGAGAAAAATGTGTTGCTGTTTAAATCTTTTGTATTTCACAACTAAAGCAATAAACCTAAATGAACAAATGGAGGGCAAGGCAACCCATGTGGACAATTGATATACACTAGAAAAGAGAAATTATGAATCCTAAACCATAACTATCAAAACTAATATCCTGATTTCTTTTGTGTAAGGACACCCTCAAAGACAGAGTTCTACCTTAAGTCACGGACAGATTCTTTATGTGCAGATTTATTGGCCTTCACATTGTTCATATTGTTTTGCCAATACCTACAGATGCCACCATTATAAAAATTAATACAAAGGTAAAATTGTCCAATCAACCAAAATAAAAGGAAAACGCTTAAGAAGATTGCCGAAATATATCAAATAATGCATTTACTTTATTGCGCCACCATCGTCACCAGTGACCATCCAGTTCTCATTGTAACTCCATACCATAGACCTGACTGCTTGATCATGAGCCTGCACATTAATAAAGGTTCCAACACATATCAATTTGGGTTCTTTTATAAGTACTGAAAATAGGAGAAAAACCTCAAACTGCATACCTGCAATATCATCTCAAAATTAAATGACTGCCCATTCCAAAGAGTGAATTCCCCACTTTGAGAGCCTGTTATAAGACGCCTCCCACTAGGAGTCCACTTTAAACAAAGACATGGTCAGGAACCAGTGAAACAGAAAAAAAAAACAAAAAAATCCATTGCATCATTATGTACTACTAATGTTGACAACAAACGGATTCTGCTAAGCCTCATAAACTGGTCTGCTTATGATATTTTATAGCAAATTGAACAAAAGAATGCAAACAAGACGGCCAAAAATTAGGCTTCTACAAAGATAAAATTAGCATTTGCAATTATTCACTTCAACAAGTTTGCAGCTTCCAAAGAGGACTTTCCAAGAAGAAGCCACCCGACCTAACTTCTACTAAATAACTTTTCATTGATGACCTTCTAGAAGCCTGTCATTATAACTTCAGCAATAATTCTTCAAAAAGGGCCTTTGTGGGCAAGGAAACCATTTGAAGCTTCCCCCAAATACATATAAGCTAAATTCTTTAAACCTATAAAAGCACTAAAGGGCGGTCACAATTGCGGAAACAGTCTCTCCGCATGCAAAGGTAAGGTCATGTATGTTTGAGTGTCTCTAGATGCATAGGGTTGCCCTTTAGCAGGATACAGTCCATGGGTTCCATAACAATATTCTACTCGTTTGTATTTTGTTTCGCTTCTGTTTGTATCTCCGCCCTCTAACTTCAATTCTATTTTTTTTTTCTTTTTCTCAAAGATTGAATGCAGTATTTTCAATTTGGAATGCTCTGTTATTTCTGAAAATTTTGAATTGGATACTAATTCTCGCTCAAATTTGGGTTCATATTCTTAAACACTTTAGCTACTCGAAATTTAGGGGAAGAACATTTACTTGTTTCACCATAACTGCATATTGCTCCAGAAAGTTAGAGAATAAATGTTATAGTATTTCTAAAACAGGTTGTATTCATGTCACGCATGGAAATATAAGAGAAATATGTGTATCTGTCTGTGTGTGCAGAGAGAGAGAGAGAGAGAGAAGGGCTAAGAAATTATGCATCTCAAATCCAACTCACCAAAACACGATTAATTGAACAACGATTTTTGTTCAGAGATGTATGAACAAACTTCGCAGCAAAACCCGTGGATGGATTATCAAGATAGGCAACTGTGGGCAACATCTGCATCAACGATCAACAGAAATGACATTTCTAGACTATATCAAAATAGAAACAAAGTTTGAATCAATGCAACGAATTGCGAAAGCAATTACAATGTGATTGACAATAACAATCTAATGTAACTACCATCCACGGAAGGATCCACACAAACGAGAAGAGTGTCATTTTTTTCTTTTATAAAACAATAACATTATCAACAGACAAGAAAGAAACAAAATACAGATAGAGAAGATATCCTCAAAAGAAAGAAAGAACAATTTAAAAATGCAATGCAAAAAACTATTTGAAAAAACAAAACAAAATAGAACTGCCTTCCAACCCTGCTGAATATCCAACAGGGGCATCTCATTGAAATTCCCTATAAATATGCACATGAAAAAGCGAGGAACACAATTCTATCCCTACTAAATGGAAGAGCACAATCCTGAACAATTCTTGCATTTATCTTTAACCAGATTCACCAAAGAACTGCCAATGATGGAGAATTCCACAGAACATTAGCTTACTTGCTCTTCCCAAAGCTCCAAAACTTAATATACCACAACAACTCCACTCTAGACGAACAAAACCAAAACTTTCCAATCACATTAAACAAGTTACTTCACAAATTCCCACGCAAAAGCACAGTAACGGAATAAAAGAATATTTGCCTCTCCGGTCCTCAAACACGTTAAGCAAGTATCAAGACTTAAAGCACAGATAGATGGGCGGATAGTAAGATGAAAGAGGGAGGGGAAGAGAGAGAAGAGAAGGGAATGGGAGGGATACATCATTTCATCCGCCCAAATTGAGAGGAAAGGAGAAGGAAAAGAGGTCTGACCTTGATGCCAATTGCCAAACCTACACTCATATACACAGTAAAGAGAGACAATAGATGGGAGAGAAGGAGAGAGGACACTGAAACCCCATCACTTTCTCTTGACTTTTTTGCCCTTTCTAACATTACGATTGTTAAGCTCATAATTGTTGAATGACATAAAACCTCTTCCATTCCCTTCCCTCCCTCCTTTCCAACTAGACATACAACAAAAAAGACTCCTTCGCTCCAAGGGAAACAACTTTAATCCCTCCTCGCTTACCTTCCCCTCCAATTCCCCCCCCCCTTTTTTTTCTTTCCCCCAACCACTAGCAAACATAGCATAAAAGACAGACATATTGTCATCATCAATGGAACAAGAATATGCAAAAATAGCATTAACCCACATCGATGGCTGCTGCTGGGGTAGGTTGTAACACTGTTCTGTCCCTCGAACCCTGCTGCCACATACGAATCTGCATAAACAATCAAAATAAGATTAGCAAGATCACAAGCAAGCCAGCCTCCATTAAAATAACAAGAGCATCAATAATCCAATTCCAAAGTAAAGTGAATGCATGTGAAAATGAAAATCAGGACAACAGTAATGTTTTCCTGTGGTGGCAAAAAACTATACACTGCAAGGAAACATAAAATAGGAAACCACTGTATGCTGAACAAAAGCATCCAATAGAAAACAAAAACAACAAAAAGAAAAGGACTAGGCAATCAGAGTATCTCCAACAACTAATGAATGGCACGGCCAGCCAAACAGATGCATCCAGCAATTGTGGATGAATGCCAAAGTCTGTAACGGCTATTATAGTGCTAATTATAATGTCAAGTTCCAGATGAAACTCTGTACACATGTCTCGGACCGTTGCCAGTAGATTCACCATTCTAAACAGCAGTGAAATAGGAAACAACATCCTAATAACTTATTGATTGTGATTCAAATATTCTTCATTTGATTTCTAAGGATTCAAATTCAAGAAATAGACTAATCATACCCAGACTGGACCAATTCATCAAGCTCAATAAATAGTGGCCATGTGCTATAGCGGTCATGTTATCTATTACGACAGTAAGACAGTTTTAAGTAAAAGCCTGTGCTTGTGCTACCTATTTTTCCACAAAGCATGTAACTAGGCAGCTCTGGAAAACCCAGTTGCTAATCTCTATCCCACTCCTACGAAAATATATATAAAATCCCCTTAAGGAGACAAACAAGGGATGGGACTCATAAACTGTAATGAAAAATAATACCCAAGAACTTCAACCATTGAACCACATTTAATTGCTTTCAATTTCTTCTCTTTTTTTGGATAGATTTAAAGTATCTATGCCAAGAAAATAGGTAACAACGTGATTACAAACCATGTCAATCAAGCATGCAAGTATTTACCAGCAAAATTCTGCCGAAAGAAGCATGTATGCGAAAGAAAACATAACTAACCAAAAATCTCTACTTTTTAGTAACCAGGTGCTCACTGTGTTGTTTCAGCCTATTTGGCTGCCATGTGTCGAGCGTTCCTGGTCGGGTTAGTTTTATATATCACACAAAGAATAGTCCATCATTCTAAGATTTTCAATCGCATCGCTCTAATGAGTCTGTTCCACTAGGACTGAGAAGCAGGGATATATATTTCTGGAACAGACACGGGCATGACACAAGTGTGCCATGCCAACACAGCAAAGATCTTGAAGGAGCCTGCTTTGATCTACAACTAATTTACTAGGATTCTCTGTTCTATAAACTTATTTTTCCTTGGACCACTTATTGACTGGATCACATAGGCACACAATTATAAAAGGAGTTAAATTTTCCTTTTGGATGGAAAAGTATATTATGAAAGACAGTAAACACTTGATAACAGTTCTGTTAACCATTCTATAACATAACTCTGAGCTACAAGCATACAATACCATTCTACTAATGCAGCCAGGAAAAACAAATAAAAGGGATATATGATGATAAGCCAAATCATAAGCATGTGTTGGAGATACAATCCATCACAAATATGTGGAACCATGGATGGTAACCATGGAACACAGTGAAGTCAGTGAATAAAATCAGTCAAGTTGAGACAATGTGACATGGCATCTCTAAAGAAGACCAAATATATCCCACCCAAATGGGTTGAAGATTCGTAGCTTACAAAAACAATGCACAGCGGGTTATATTTCTTCTGATAAGAAAAAAGGAAGGAAACAAGCAAACAAAAGAAAAAACAGAGAGTGATGAATAATACAATAAATATCTTCCTAATACGAGTCATATAAAGGTGCAGTCATGAGACATAAGGACGAGTGTAAGTAGCACAAAAGGGATCAATAACTAAGAACAAAGAATTTCAAAAAAATTATCCACTTCTAGGTAAAATGCTACAAGAACTAATTTGTAAAAAATTCAAGCAAAATGTATCCACAAAGATCTGTAGAAACTAATCTAAACACAAATTACCTGCATATATCGGACAACAGTGCTTGTATAATCAACAGCTCGCCTTTGGCCAATCTTTCTCATTCTTTTCGCAGCAAAACTGTCTGCGTGGGCTGCAAATGAATGGGAAGTCAAACAAGAGCATTAGCTGCCACCACCAAAGTTCTCATAGGGTAACATCAAAGAATCAAGATTTCAATTTGGTGCATACTTTCGGCCAGGTCAAAAACAAATACATTTTAAAAACATAATTGAAATGGAGAAACAAATTGCAGAGGTGTGGAAACAATTAGAAACAATAATTATAAGCTCTTTATTTATGTGGATAAGCTAGTAGATTGATTAATTGAGTATGTTTTTTATCTAAACATCCATCTGTACTAAATGACATCAATTTGAATAACAAAAGTAATGGTTAATGTGAAGTGTTAGCACAATTCAAGCTCATGATATCGACAATCGATTAGGAAGCATCGAGACACATCAGCCAAAACATTGTGACATGGTATTGGGTAATATACATGAAATACTAAATAGAAGAAAAAGTTGGGCGTGCCCAAGCATTTGGACAGTATCACAAGCTTCAGAACATAGTAAACAATGTCAACCAATATGTTGTGACTCAATCGAGTCTTTCGAGACATCTCTAAGTCAACTGCAATTCTTACTCGACTCATGGTTTACACGAAGCTTGTATAGGACTCAGAACCGAAGGTATCATTCCAGATACAACTCGACCGAATAGTATTAATATCGGTTGATACTTTAAACCATGAGCGAAAGTCATCACAACTATTATCAAACAATTCATTTTTACTAAACAAACAAATTTAGATGATTTTGAGGACCTATAATATGTGGTCAAAACAAAGAACCTATAATGTAAATAAAGTGTTCATGATCATCCCCTTGTTACATATACATTGTTCTTACCACCACCTCCTTCCTTGAGTCACGCAAGAAACGGTGCCAACTCAGTCGAAAACTTTTGAGAGATTAACAATCAATTCCAAACTTTTCAACTCATTGATGAACATGAAAATTTTGACTTTCAATCATTGATTCTCACAATATCACCAAGAATCTAGTTTCATGATAAGCACGATAAGATTAAGAGGTAATCCAACACTGCTCAGACATAAGTTGTAGAGTCGGTGCTTTTAGCCAGTGATGGAAAATGTGTCAATGAGGTTATACTATTTATTGAATGACTTAGTCGGAAAGTAGTTAATTGAGCCTATTTATCAAGACTATCATCCCTAGTCCAAATTTATGCAATTGATTGTTCCTCTACATTATGGTTCCTCTTCGCTATGATCAAATTGTCCTCCATCCTCAAAGTAGTGAAAAGTGTACTATGTTTAGCAAAAGCATAGGTCTCAATGACAAACATCATATCTTTAGTCAATCATGCCTATTTATGAGTTGTCTTGTTTCCCAACCGACCACTAAACATCGTACCTACTCTCTCCAATATTTTGACTAAACAAAGTTTGGATTATATTCAATCTTTTGTTATTACTAGCAATACACGACGTGCAATTAATCTGTATTATAATTATTGCTAAATTTAATTATTAATTTATTTTATAAATTTTTGAATAACTAATTTGTCATTTATTTAGGTATCTCTCCAACCCTTTTGGGCATTTGCACATCTAATTATATTATAAAATTATTAATTTTTATTTTATTAAACAGATTGATTAGATCGCTCATAATATTAATATATTATTATTGCATACTAAAAAATAAAATATAAAATATATTGGACCGTAATATTCAATCTGGTAACTACATTTGTATAATAATTTAATATATATACGACTTTACTTCTTCATATAAATATAGATAATTGCATGTAATTATACTATTAATAAATAATTTCAAAAGAATTTAGAAGTCCTTATAAAAAGAGTCCAAAATAAATTGAAAGTCAAATAAGTGTAAAAAAAATTAGATGAAAATATATAAGTGGGTATAATTAACTTTATTATAATAATTTGGAAAAAATTTCACAAATGCTAACATTTATAAGTAGTATAGATAACTCATCTAAATTCTGCAGAATTAGATAATATAATAGCGAGAAGTTTGCAATCCCCATGCTGTCACCGACTAGAGAATGCATGGTCCCATTTTGATAACAAATTCTAGACATCTAATTATTCCTCAAACTACTCACGCTCACTCAAAGCACAAGGGAACCATAGATGCTACTATCCACTTTCATAGATAAACATATACTCTTATGCTTCAGGTAAGGGACCAACATCCGGCAATGTTGGTTCTAGCAAGTTTGTCACAAGCCAGCATAAGGAATCTCACCAGATGGCTCGCTATTAACAGATTAAGAGATAGAACCATAAAAAAAATCAAGCAATTACTACATAATGCAAATCAAGACAGCAGCATATGGCATTCTAATCTCACTCTAGCCAAGCCAAAATTATGAATTGCAGCTCCTAAATTTAAGGATGTGGCTGCCCCTGACACTAGTTCTTTTCATTTGTTATGGAATTTCCGTTAAATATACAAAGCCTTAAGTTCATTGATGCTTCATGTTCTAAAATTAACTTCCCTAAGAGACTACAAAAGACAGGTGAAAAACTATTGCTATGGCTAAAGAAGGACATTTTTTACCACCGAATACTATTCCTAGGTCTTGGCTATAGCATGAAAGATACGTTTTTTGTTGGCCTTTGTGAATTAGCAACATTATAGACAAATCCCATCCTTCCCTCTCATACACAATCATCACATCTTAGCACGGTTCATTATTTGTTTTCTCAACGGAAGAGACACCAGTATTGTGAAAAGCAAACCTAAGTGAGAAGCGAAGCGAAGCGAGCCTTAGTCGCCTTGAACATCCCAGGCGAAGCGAACATCCCAGGCGTAGCGAGGATAAGTAAAACATGGAAAAAACGAGCCTAGGCGATGAAGCAAATAAGTGAGCCAAACGAGAAAAGCGAACGTTTAACTGCAATTTTTTTATTATCCCCTTCTCCTCCTCCTTCCTTAACATTAACCAAACCCTGACAGAGATTATGTTATGTGTATATATATAAAATAAATTAATTGATTCATCTAATAATATCATATGACAATCTGTCTTATTATGATTAGATGATGTTGAATGCTCAGTTTTGATGTGAATGTTCTTGTTAATCAATTTGTTAAGTGTTTTATTTGATTAATCAATTTGTGAGTACTCTATTTAGTGATAATATTAATCAATCACGGGAGAAGTCGGACTAACATTTGCTAACTTTACATTTAGATGACGTGATTATGTTAACTGATTATTTTTAGAATGCAATAATGTTCAATATTTAATATCTTATCTATTTAAAATTTGTTGATGGTTGTTTTAGTTGCATTTAAATATTTTGTACTTGTAAAGTTAAAACTTAAATATTTATGAGTAATCAAAGTATCAAAATAAAATATTGGCTTATTTTTTATATTGTTCGCTTTGCTTCAATGAAGCGCTTCTCGCCTAGGCCCTTAAGAGACCGATTCGCTTTACACCTTAAATAACACTGAGAGACATCATAATTGTCTAAAAATTTTGAAATAACTCATTCAAAAATTAGTGGCACAACCTATTTATAACTTCCCAACGATCATCTCCTTAGATTGATCTATTTTCCTCACTTGCAACTTTGGAAACCTCAATAAGGCTTAATATAAGTTGATTGTTCCTTATTTTTAATCAAATTGGGACATCTAATTCCTTTTAACCCTAAGTTGCTAACTAATGATTGAGAGATTTAACTCTCCTTATCCAAATTGCATGACCCTACTCACAACCCAAAAACTACTTCCGCCATTACCACTATTATATCTCCACAAAAATGCATACATGATTTTAATGGTAGTAGTAAGAAATCTTTTGATCCCAACCACCAAAAAGCTCCCAAAGGAGAACTGATGGGAATCGTGTAGGAATTGGATAGATATAATAGATTAATTATGATAGTTATTTAGATACTTTTAATATTTATCGTTTAAATAATTTTTTTTAACTTTTAAGGGTTTAGTTGTCATTTGAATTATTTATTTATTTTAGTGTTTGTGATCTCCTTATATATATAGAATTTGTGAACTCCTTATATATATAGGGGATACATATTTGTTGTGAGACTAGACTTTGATTATTGACTATTGATATTGAATTTTCTTTCTAAAATTCTCTCTTTTCTCATTCCCTTCTTCTTTTCTCATCCCTTTTTTCTTCTCTTCTCATCCCTTTCTTCTTCCCTTCTCATCCCTAATACAATCTACATCAATTTGGTATCAGAGTTCAACTTCAATTCGTACAAATCACAACAACACTGTTCATAAAAAAAAAAAAACTATGTCGCGTGAAATCACTATTCACGCGCACTGTTCACACAGTTCATCAGCACTATCCAGTTTAAAAAAAAAAATTCCAGAAATCAAATTTCGGTCCAAAAAAAAAAAAACAAAGTTACTGTTCATCCGAAAACATTGTTCATCAGTGAAAAAAAAACAGAGCCAGCCAGCCAAAAAAAAAAAAATTTATCAAATTTCGTCACTCGCTGTAGCAGTAGCCTGGTGGGTTAAGTATTGACCCAAAGTTCCCAGCATATTCAGCAAATTACAGAAACATCCCCCATAAATTCCAAAAATTACAGACACATCCCAAGAGGTCTTTAGAAATTACAGAAACACCCCAAAAAATTTCAGAAGTTACAGAACCACCACCAAAAAATTTCAGAAATCACAGAATCACCACTAAAAATTTCAGAAATTGCAGAATCTCCCCCCCAGAAGTTCCAAAATTACTTAAACGATAAATATTCTTCTCTTTCAATTTGCAAATGATCCAAATTATTTGTCAATTACATTCTTGAACTTGTTTTGGCATCATTCTCTTGTTCCAAGAGTCATTCATGAATTTCTCTAATACGCATGATTCAAGAATCTCTCCTCAATGTCATCATCATAGGAAGTCTAAGAATGTTTACATGGAGTCAATCCATATGACCAAACGAGTCAAAGATCCTTCTATATTTAGTGGCACTTTAGATCCTTTTGAATTCTTGGATTGGTTAGCT